TCATGCTAGTTGATACTAACCAGCAAGACTTGTTCTATAATCATGAATAGAATCATCCCATCAAAAAAAATCAAATCTGTTATTCATTTACACAGTCGCAGATTCTACCACCACGGATGACAATAAACAGTAAACAAACTACATTTCTTCTTCATACAGTGATAAATCATTGTTATTACTTACCTTTTCTAACCACTACTGTTTAATTCACCCTTCAGTATCAGGCTTTTCAATTACCTCATGGCTTATAAATTTACTGGATTCGAGTGAACAAACGTTTTTATCGAATTGAGCTCCTCAAAAGTGATCAGAATGGTATATTACTGATCAAAAAGTACAAAAGACTAATATGTTCAGGAATACTAAAAATTAAGACTCGTTTTTGACTTCAAACATGTTTAAACCTTTTATGATTCATAAAAAGGAGAACCGTGATTAACATGAATTAAATAGCTGTCAATACTTTATGATTATGTTGAAAAATTTACCCGATTTTAATGTAAACCGTCCAAACTTAATTTGAGTATCTATTGAAAAAGTAATTGGAACAAGCTGATTTCTAACACGAAACCAGAACTAATTTGATATTGTCATATTAGAAATCGAATACTGATCTAAATCATTCAATGTACATGATTGTAAAGAGAATGTATTGAAAACATTAATTGTATCAAATAATTAATAAATTCATTACAATAGAATACAACAAACTATGTTTATGACCCATAAATGTTCTATATATAACAATATGGTCTCACAGTTATGTATGCTTATAATTAACGTAGTTTTCATTATTTCCAATTTGTACTAATGAACTTATGAATATTCATTTTAGTTCTTTTTTCGAAATATTTTGCATTGTTATACATATATAAGAAGTGAAACGATATGATAATCATAGTCCAAGGATAAAATTAAGTATTTATACATAAATGTTAAAGGAACTATAAGAAGGAGACCACACAGTACATTCAGGTTTTTAGCAGTAGTCTAGTTCAGTACAGTTCGTAATTATTGGTATGTTGAACATCTCATTATTTAAATCAACTGTACTTTATACTGTTTGAATTATGATGAATGTTGAAGAAGAGTCCAAACTCAGGTAGACGTTTATAGTTATATTGTCTTGTTTAAGAGTGAAAATCTAATTATGTAGTTAGTTCTGAATAACATTTTAGAGGCTTACTTGGTGTAAATGTGGTCAACTTGATTTTTCAGAAATTGTTTCAACATTTAGATCTGATCGAATGATCTATCATTGGTTTATCATTGTATTCAAGTTGACTGCGATGTTCGGTTAACCTCTGACCATGTAGTTGATTGACCTTTATGTATATGAATTGATAGATTGGTTCTAATTATATATGGCTATCGGTTGCTCATTAATTTTAATACTATCTTTTAAGAAGATATCTGAGATTTTTGTAAGTTTCATGTACTCGAAATTTAAACATTTTCCCAGTTGAGTTCATGTCTGTCCACATACATGTACATTGCTATCAGTGATAGCAAATTATCCTTTATTCTACAAACAAACATAATTCGTAAATAAAAGTACAATTTTTCTTAAAACATACAATTCTGATATACTTCTGTAGAACAGAACACAAAAATATCAATAACATTTAGACATTTATTTTTACTATTATTTATGCAGTACATGAGAAAATGAAAGCCTACTGCCATAATAAAGTACATATTAAGACTCAAAGTATAAAGAAAACATCAAAGTTAGTTATCAGAAGGGTTTTGTGGAGATTGTAATAATTTCAATAGTTGAGATCATGAGTCAATTGGTGGAGATTGTACTAATTTCATGGTGGTCTAGTTTCAATTGACTTATGCTTTTAACTATTTTAAAAAGTTATTTATGCATAAAATCTTTATGGAAACGCGAAATTCAAAGAAGATATTTATTTTCAACGAATTTATTATTCAGCAGAACAATCGTACAAATGTAATTCCTGTGATTATAACATTTTAATCATCCTATTGATTTCATCTTATAATCCAATATAAGTTTATTAATTTTACTCAGTTTCCATTTTCACCCATCCAAGAAAAAGCATTTAACTATTGATTTTAACTTTCCACACCACAAAACATATGATAATCTTTCATGTACGTCATATATTTATTTAATAGTTGAACTCATGAGTGTATCGGAGCTAGACCGACATGGAAATCCTAGAGGCACTGAACGGCTGTTTCATCCTAGTGTGAGACGCCTTGGCAGTATGCATCCACGATGTCATTTTGCGAGATTCGAACCCAGGACCCATCGATTGACTCATGAACTCAACTATTAAATTACTATATTATCCACAAAATCCCTCTCAGATTGTAATATTTTTATTTTTTTATTTTTAGTTCCTTACAGAGTTAAAACTTAAAATCGCATGCATATATATTTTCGATTATGAGTTGAATTAATAGGTATCCTTTCACTAAATGCCCTGTTTTTGAAGTTGAAATAAAAACAGTAAGATATATTTGTTATATGCATGATATTTAACGATATTAAGCATTTTATTAAAAAACGGTGTATGCACAAACCTAATGTTTGTTGAAATCGCAGAATCATGTATAACTACAGGTTATTATGAGATATTTTGAGCCGCTGGATAAAATTTGTAATTCTCGGACTGAAACTATGTGACTGATGTGATGAGTTTTACTGTAAGCAAACAAATAACTTTTTTTTCGTGGAGTTTTGTTCTCTGAGCTGGATGGTTTAGTTGTGAAGCTTTCATCGTTATTCCTAGCGACATCATCAGCACAAACTTTAAGAGTTGATAATATCGTTCAGCATAACGATGAAAGCTTTACGATCAAACCATCCAGTTCAGAGAACAAAACTTCACCCAAGCCATCCACCTAATCTACAAATCTTCTCCGTCATACAAATAACTTTTAAACGTTCTTGCAATGACTTTTCAGTCATTCTTTGTTTACTTGAACGTAAATTAATAATATTCTCCGACTACTCAAACAGAACCTAATTAGTTCTCTTCTTTACTGTTTTGAACTGTCATTTGATTGCATTAGATAAATATTTTTCACAGTAGATTTGAGAAAGAATAATATCTTTATTTTGCTGTTCATAAGTTAAACAATCATGTACACGATGCTATGGAATCAAATACGTATTATTTCATACGTCACGAGATTTTTCACTAGACTAAAACTATTAACGGATTTCCCCCTTTGAATAAGAAACAAGATAATACTGAATATCAATATTAAATGATTAATACTAAAAGCTATTTAACAAATAGAACAACTAAATTTACCGATACTTAAAATATGCATAAATAAACTTCAACAAAGTGAATTTTCTGTTCTATGCACCCATTTACTAATGTGGTACACATGTACTGATATTTATTTTACATAGAGTAATCTGTGACAAAATTGAAGTACGTTGCATCGTTAAGATGATTATTTACTAGAAGTCATAAATATTCTTTCAAAAGTTACGCAATAATCGATGGGTTGTAAAAAGGAGATGAAATAAGAATAACCAACATAAAAAAGATATAGAAAATATGGAAAATTATCAAATTACATAGTGATAAAAAAAATTAGTCCCATGGCAAAATGAATCATTGAACATATTGTTTCTGATTGCCAATACAAATAAATGACGATGAGAAGTGATATCATTGATAAGAAAATAGTTATCGCTGAACTGCCACGGACTAACCTAAGTCAAACAACATCTGAAAGCACTAGACATCTATTTTGTACTAGTATTGGACTCGCAAGATGTGCACATCGACGACTCCGCTAATAAACCAATTTAGAACCTTTAATTAATTAGAAAAGAACCCTAACCTCTAAACAATTGATCTGGCACTTAATGAGTGATGTGTTTGCTCTCAGATGCCGATCAGATCATCAACTATCGATTACCTTGATTACAAGAGAAATAAATCATATGACAATGAAATGGGAAATGTAATCTTCGTAGGACTTACTGTCTAATAAAATTTAGTCCGATATAATAAAAACAATTATTTTCAAAAATCTGAAAACATGTTAGTATCCAATAGTTTGAATATGGATGACAGTGGAATCCAGGATGCGTGTTTTGTATGACGTACAGTTGTCCTTAGAGGACATATTATTGCTAAGGTGTAAGTATAATTCCACAACAACAAATATAAATACAAATAATTGATATGGAATATTTTAAAACGGCATCAATTATTTACAGAACTGAATAGATTACTATTTTAATAGTTGAAATTGTGAGTCAATTGAAGCTAGACCACCATGGAAAACCTGGAAACATTGGTCGGCTATTCCTGATAGTAATCAACATATGCTCACTAGTGAATGGCTTCAACAGGTATATCCTGAAGTTCTAGTGAGAAGCAGTGACCAATGGAGTTCAACCAGGTCTGTTGTGAGATAATAACTGACTGAAGAGAATGGTGGTTGTGTCGCTCAATTTCGTGGATTAGTTGAAGTTAGATATTAACTTCGTTGGATGCCGGCGTAATCAGTGGTCTAGTGGTTAAGTGCTCGCGCGAGAGACTGATAGATTGTGGGTTGGAATCTCGTGATGATTGATCGTGGATGCCCATTGCTGAGGAGTCCTATAATAGGATGAAACCACCGTCTAGTAATTCCAGATTTCCCATTGTGGTTTAGCTTTAATTGACTCATAATCTCAACTATTAAAATTACTAAAATCTCCACAAAACCCCTTCAGCTTATTATTATTATTTTAACTGAAACCATAATTAAGTCGAAAAATCCAGTTAACATTGAGCTAGTAAAACACAAACTGTCTGATATGCTTGAAGATTTACATTCCATTAGTCATTCTATGAACGAAGATCGATTAAAACAAGCTTCTATTACTAATTTTAAAATTACGTGACTTAATTAAATTAATAAAATGTCTAATTTTGTACTACTAAAGATTTTATTATAATGTGAAATATCTCTTCGGTTTTGTTGTGTTTTTTTTAAATTTTTTTTTGTTTTAGGTGAAAATCATTTGCAATCGATATGAGATGAAAATTTTCTAAATAAGATTTTACCACTATTCGCATCACACGAAGTAAGCAACAAAATAAAAACATTAAAAAAAAAACTAACACTAAGGAGTTGATTATCAAATTCCAGTATGTAAAATGATTATGCAACAAATATGGAGAAATTTTATTTTAAATAAAATTTGAACAAAATCAGTATTTGTAGAAATCACATGATTTTATGGAATTAATTTGCTCTTTTAAGGGATAAATAGAATTGTAATATACGGAACGTATTAAATAATCGTTAAGAAAATATGAAGTTGATATTTGTATTAAAAGATTTTCTTCGAAAGATGAATTCCAATGAGTTTGCGTTCGCGTTTGAGATCAATAGGTCCTTGGTTCGAATCTCTCGAGGCAGGATCGTAAAAGCACACTGCCGAAGATTGTCATACTAGTATGAAATGGCCTTCCAGTGATTCCAGGTGTTTCATAGTAGTCCAACATCAATTGATTCATGAATTCAATTATTAAATTACTATAATATTCACAAAATCCCTCTCTGATTATAATTATTGAACTGATAATTTATTTTATTCATTATTCACGATGTAATGTAACTTAAAGATAATTATGCAATGTGTGACTGTACGCAGCCATGATTATATTACTGCATACATTAATTAGTTTCCTTTTATATCAGATTTCTTTGAAAAGTTTGTTCTTAAATCAGTCTTTGATATTAGCTTAGACAATTCGAAAAGAATCAAAACTTGTCATTGAAATAAATTACAATTGTCGTTTTGCTAATCCAAAAATTATAGTAAACTTTAACATTTAAAAAATGAATGTTAACTATTCATTTCATTAATAGTTTCGCAGTATTTGGGCACCGAGTTGATGTGAGACATTAAAGAGGAAAAATGTATTTGTGAAATATAAGCGAATGAATTTGAAGTAAATCTAACGTTTCGCCTGACAATCTGATCCAAGCTTTTTCAAGGAAACATATATTGGGATTTACTTAGATTTCACTCGCTTAGATTTTACAAATACATTCTTATTCATTCGATTATAGCAGAAATACAGTGAGCATGTTTTCAACATCATGGATTCTGTCAACTGAACTGATGTTTTTGAGTAATGAATGATAAAATTATTAAAATATAGATTGCTTTATAATTTCAATGTTTTTTACTTGTGTAACACTAATCTTAAATAAGAGATATTTGATGAGTTGATAATTGTATAAGTCAATCGTTCAGTCTGTTCTTTCTTATTGAAAATATGTGAAAGTTGCCCTCGATGCTTAATAGTTGGCGGGTGTTTTATCCAGAAAAATTTATTCTTTATAAGTGACGTTCAGTAAATATTTTCTATCGAAGGAAATGTTATATCTGGACAAAGAATAATAAAGGATAACTGCTAGGATCTATTTATGGACATTATTATATAACTTTTAAGTAACAATATTATATGTGTATTCATATTCTTAGAGATGAGAGGCAACTATCTCTGTGAACCAATAAGAACTCAGAGTTGATTCTTGACTGTTTGTACTGCTTTATGCGTCATTGACGTCACTCCCGATAAGTCACGATAAAACTGTCAGGTCATAAAGATAAAACAGGAATGACTGTAGAAAGTTGCTCAAAGAATGAAAATGGAAAGTTTTCCACAAATGGATGTGATATCCTTTGTCTAGTGGTAGTTCTGTTGTGAACGCTACTACTGCCGTGATGAACAAGAACACATCTGGGGACAACCAATGCACTTTAATACAAAATTACAGAGTATCTTGGTAAAATGAATGAACCATACACTGAATACTTCATTTGTAAATTTTCATCATTTGTCCTTTACACTCTGTTCACAATTCTTACTTATCTGCTCTTCTATTCTCTCCAACTCGATCCTCTTAGCATTCTGCTGCCGGGTTTTCCACTTCCAAATGGTGTTACATATTACTTATGTCTATCGAAATAAGCACATTACACCACAGTTCTGGCAGCATTTGTGCAATAAAAGTTTCTATGCTTTATTAAAAATAAGTTAAAAATTTCGGTTACCTACTTTCCAGCTATACGAATACTAAGATGAATGCACCAGTTAATTATTTAGTTTAGCCAATGAAATATGTATCTTAACCATATAATACAAAAAAGGGTTTAAAAGTTGTTACGTTGATAAACACTGAAAAATTAAAAGAGTGAATTTCCATTGTTTGCTGTCGTTTAACATATGTCACATCTCTCGAGATGTTTAAACGCAATATTTATCCAACACACAAGATGAACAGTAAGCTGTAGGAATAGAATTGATCAAATTATACACCATCAAACATATTTAGATTGAATGAATATATAAATCCAAGATATTCAGTTGTATAAGTTTGTTACTAGCTAATCTATTCCGATTTCAATAAGTGTGTATACTATTTTACTCTGACATAGAGGATATATTTAACAAATTAGTAAATTGCATTAAACTAATAGATATCCAATTAAGAGCTCACTTGTTCATAATTTGACAAAAATTGTAGTAAAGATCAATCTGTGACGAATATAACCTACTAAACGAAATTAGTGACTTATTCCAAGAAGTTTCTATAGTTCTAGTAAGATGGACTGCTGGAGTCTAGACATGTTGAAACAGGAAAAACTGCCACTAGTGACACTGGATGATTGTCAAGGTATCAACGACTAAAGTTGGACTTTTACCATTAAACGCCAACCCAGTGGTTCTACTAATTAATCCTTAGTTAGGAGAACTAAAAGTCGTGGTTTTGATTTCTGCTTAGTTGTTCTCTTTTAGAGCGAAACACCTGCTCAACGGTTTCTAGTTGTCTATGGTGCTCAGGTGAATTCAGCCTAAATATAAATGAAAAAGTTGAATTATATAACTGTGGTTGTAATTAAGCACATCAGTTACTGATATATTTTTTTCAACTTTTGTATTTGCGTTTCATGTAAATAAAAAGTGGTCCTATTCCATGGATATTGTAAATCAACCCCCCACGTATTGTGAACTTGTTACCTAATCACAGTTTTCCTATAAATCATAACAAAAACTCAAAATACTTTTTTTTCAGTTAAAATCTAACTGCTTAAACTCGTAAAAATACAGTTACGCATAGGGAATTAATAGCGTTAAACTCTTTTTTTTGTAAAAACAAGAGTGAAAATGTTAAAAAAAACTTCACACTATGCTTGTTGACACCCAAATGGTATTGATCACTTGTAAAGTATGCACAAAATATATAAAACTCTTCAAAATATGCATTGGTGGTAACCATACTATCATGTGTAATTAACAAAAAGTACGTTTTTCAAACACGTTTTTAATGGTTGGTTAAAAATAGGTTTCGTCCCAAGATTTTCATAAATTGGATGTATGCAGTAAATATTTTCTAGAAATGTCATGCATTTATATTATATTGTTTGCTGTTACTTTTCAGTAAAGCATAGAACATCTAGATATGACTGAAACTAGTAGTCTGGACAAAGTGACTAACCACTAACTGCTTTTAAATGAAAGCTTAGTACATGTCCAAGACAATAGAGTTATTTGCATATGATAAGTGTTAGAACAAGCGTTTTCATTCGTTTTAAAATTTTTGGCTTTTGTAACGATATCTCATCCAGCAAACATAAAGAAATGTTGCATATAGTCAATTTAAACATTTACAGTCAGGTATGGCTTATTAAAGATGTTTGTTACGTAATGTAACTTTATTTTCAAATGTATTTACTTTTATATCCTTTACTCCAGATATCATACGGTTTGTGATAAGCCGGAACAGCATGGTGTGTTCTCAATTCCTTGAATTCAGTGTAAACTTTTATGGCAGTAGTTTATTCGCAATGTGATATTTCGACAAGACTATGATTTTCTGTGTAACGTCTAAGTTCGCACAATATTCAGGTTACGTTTTCCAGTGTAACATTATTTCCGATTATTATGTTTGTATCAATTTAGTTCAAAGTTTGTTCAGTATGACATCAGTGAACTTTCGTCCACTGTGACAGATATATTCCTTAAGTAACTCATATGCATTTTACAGTAACCCTGTGTGTCTTTTCACTTATATGATGTTCATTAACCAATCATTAAATCTGTGCAAAAGCTTTATATAATTCTTTATTTGTACCAGTCTTCGCATTATTCCTTCATATCGTGGCAATTGTAGTGGTTCCTGTTTCTAAGTAGTAGAAGTAAGATTGTGATACAACAGAGATTACAGGGATATAACAGTGGCGTACGGCAGATATAACAGTTTGATATGATCAATTTTACAGTTTCCATCAGGTATAAACTCCGAACACTCATTATTTACATTCATTTTTCAACTTTGTTATCATCCAAAAGTAGATTAAGACATTGAATAGCATATAAAATTCTTACTCTTTTAAGCATAATTTTATTCAAAGTTTTAGCTGAAAAGTGTAGCGGAAAAATTTTGTATGTTTATAGTATATTACTGTTTACTAAATATGATATTTCACTTAAATATACTTTTAGCCATTCACAATATGTACAACTGATTATAACAGTTAATCTTAATAATGTTGTTACGTAATAACAAATCATTCATTGGATAATATATGAAATTTTTTGAAACATTGGTTGTACTCTCAATCTTGATGAAGTTGATTTTTGTGTGAAATAGGACTATTTGAAATGATGAGCAGCTTTAGAAAATTACACCTCAAATACGTTTATAAAAGAGAACCACAGAATGGCGAAATAATTTAGAAATATAAACATTAGTATTCTTCTAACATGAGTACTTAGGACTTTTCGCAAAAACAAACATACCAACCTGATCGATTCCTTCTTAAATTATTCAGAACTTCAAAGTATATGTAAACTTTGTATTCCAATAGTGATTAGCCACCATAAATCATCTGTAGACATTTTGAAAGACCATTTTACCTTTATTTTTAGTTGACTAGTATATTTAAAGCAGTAATTTTTAATGTAATCGCTTCTTGTTTCCTAAAATTGTGCAAGACAAGAAATCTATGTCAATTCTACATGAATGTTGGAGTCAATTTACTGACAATTGGTTGAAAGAGTCTAATAAAAACCTTTTAAAATTGTAGGCATCCAATATGCATAAAAAGTTACATTAATCAGAAACAAAAACATTCTTTGTATGGTTGAGAAATTACGAGAGGTTGGAAATTCTACAATAATGCAGTCAGTCTCATATCATTCTGTATTGATTGTGACCACCTTTTGATAAATGATCACCAGGATGTTGTTGCAAGTTAATTCATTCAATTCCGATAAGCAATTAGACACATTAGATATAGAAATTTTCTTGATTTTCAACTGCTTTTAAAATGGAAAACTTCTTAGATGTTAGTTCAATGGATAGTTCTTTTTCAAAAATATAGCTAAAAATAAATTCAAAGTGATTTTTGTCAAATCCGTCCTTTGAATAGAAACTCACAAATTAAAAATGTATTACTTGTATATCAATAATATTAGATAGTGTCTGAATTCGAGATCGAAATAACAGAATAAGATTGATATATCCAGCTAGATTAAGAAAACAAACTTTATATGAATATTTATACATCAATCCATTTTGTATAATATGCGGTGTGACACTGACAAAATTTCTTGAGTCAGTTAAAGCTAGACCACCATGGAAAACCTGGAAGCACTTGACAGCCATTAGGTCCTAGTATGAGACTTATAAGCAGTGCTCATCCATGATCCCGCACCACGAAATTCGAACCCAGGACCTATCAGTCTTGCGCGCGAACGTTTAACAACCAGACCACTGAGCTGTCATCCAACGATGTTAATGTCTAACATTGACAATGTAAAATCATGAATAAGTACAAATAATTTATTTGAATATACCAACAAACATCATATTAGTGAAAAATAATAAAATGTCATTTATTTTGTTAACTAGATTCAGATATTAACTGAATTAAATTTATGTATAGTCTATGCAAATAGATTACAATGAATACAAATATAAACATATAGTCAATTATATAATATAATAGCAATCGACAACCTATCAACACCATATTGATAGTTATATAGTGATTAGATTAATTTATGCAAATTCGACCAAAAAAAGAAAATAGTAATTTGTGAATATAAACTTTTTAATGTTGTCAATTGTACTATGAGTAAAACAATTTAAAAAAAAATAAGAATAAAAGAAACAGAAAGTTTCACAATTCTATTAAATTATTCAATATCAGTAGGTGACTTCAGTGTCGTGAAGAAATTTTCAAGGAAAAATTTACTTCCTATCATTTGTGTCATAGTTATATTGAAAGATAACTTAACAGATGAACTTGTCGTATGAATGAAAACAAGCTTGAATCTATCATGAGTATTACTTCATTTTATATTAACAGTTCTCATATGTAGCTTTCATCCATTTCATCAGTATACAAATGTTGATTTGCATTATATGTATAATGTTTAATTGAAACATTGACAAGTGTACACACAAATAACTCGATATTTAAATATAGTTATTCAACAATCTGTTGGTAGCTTTATAATGAATGAATTTACTAACTGACGTTTACAAAAAATACAAATCGTTTATTGGCTATCATATCTCTATCATGTAAAACTTATTAATTGTTAACACTTAAGTTAACTGACTAAGAAAAATAACAACTACAACTGGAAACCTGTCAGCAATGGATGTCTGTTTCATCCTAGCATGCGTCTCCTCAACAGTACGTATCCGCGGTCCCACACGCGGAAATCGAGCACACGATCTTTGGGGTCACGCTGGAGAACGTTTAACCTCTAAACCACTAACTCAGCATCAAACGGCGTCAATATCTAACTTCAATCATTCTACGATATTGCGCCTCCATCTTCCATTATCTCCATCGGGTAACTGACTCACACCTGACAAGGGGTCCCATACTAGAATGAAACGAGCGTCCAGTTCTTCTAGGTTTTCAATGTTGTTCTAACATTGATTAATTCATGATCTCAGTCAAAAACTCAACAATCTCCACAATATTCACACTAATGATCACAAATATCTTAATTATAATAATTTTTCCTATGAAATTACGACAAAATTTCCAATTAATGATATTGACCTATTTCTTTTCTTTAATAATTTTTCGGGTTCATGAAACACTTTTTTTAATGTAACAATTTAGTTTACTTTAGTAATGAAATTCTATTTGCTTTTTATTCAATTTGTTCATAATGATTCTAAATGAGTTTATATTTAGTAATTAGTAGTATCTAATGTAAAGATTATAATAATTATCCACCCATCATTTTTATTAATATTAATATATGTATGAATATGATAAGAATAATATGAATTTGTTATGAAGACTAATCGACAAAGTAAGTAATAGATAAGTGAATCTAACCTTCATTTGATTGATTATAGTTCAAAATGAGCATATAGAAAAACTAAAATCTATTTGCATACAAAAGTTCATTACGTAACATGTATGCATGGTAAATGTAAAGTAGAATGACTATTGTCTTTTTTTAATATAAAATATTTGATAATAGAATATCAGAAAATGAATAATTGGGTTGAAGTTAGACATGAACACGGTTGGATACTAGCTTAGTGATCTAGAGGGGTAAGCATTAGTGCGTGAGTTTGAAAGTCCTAGGTTCGAGTCCCGCGTGTAGGATCGTGGGTGAGCGCTGCTGAGGAGTTCCTTACTAGAACGAAACGACCGTCCAGTGTTTTCAGGTTCACAGTGGTGGTCTAGCTCAGAACAACTATTAGATAATAATTTATTGATAAATACAAAATAAGATGAATAATTTCAATAATCTTAAAATATGCTGTTTTATGAGAATGAAATAAATCAAAAATATTCATATAGTTTATAGGCAAGACTATAATTTATGGACGAACCAATCAGATTTACGATAACAGGTCTTGGATTTCGGTGCGAAATTCTTCATCCATTTAGCTTAATAGTGTCTTGACATTTTAGCTTATGTCAGTTCGTGATGAAAACCCTAAATCTAATCTCTATTCCTAACGATCAATCAAATCACAACCCTTATCCTTCACTCTCATTTAGTCCTAGTCAGTAGGTGAACACTCTCAAGGCCATTTTAACGTTGCTCATAGGTGGTTCATAAATTATAGTCTCACCGGTCTATGTTCATAAATTATACTATAAATAGTTTGAATATTAATAAATGATCTATTTGATACTCAGTTTTACTTCCCTTAGTCTTTTCAGTCTTATATTTTCCTTGTAACACTGACAGCATTCGACAGTAAAGGTGATCCATTCTTAAGTTGCGTTTAATTGTTATCATATATATATTGACTATGGTCTTCTTGATCTTTTGGTCAATAACAGTTATAACAACATCATTTATATTAGTCTAAAAATTTAAAACACATTGTTTGATGTTATTATGATTTTGTGAATACTTTTGTGTATACCTCAACCTTAGGTTGCTTATAATACTAATGATGAAAGTGGATGCTATATGATTAAATTATTCCGATCGAACATAGGTATATTAAGTCACAGTAATAAATGATTCCACTATTGTTACCAATTATTCATTTAGGAGGTTAGAATGAAATCATTTTTGTAAAATCGACTTTCTTAATTGAACTCTCAAACTGAACGATAAGTTTATAAACTAACAGAAAACCAATACCTGCTATCCGTCACATGCAATGTATGCTGTATCAAAGGAGAATAATTGTTTTGATTAATAATGTTAAACTATGCTTATACAAATTACATGTTTATAAATGAAATGGTGGGGCATTTAAGACGTTTAACTGGGTATTTAAAAGTACCATATACATTATTTGATCAAGATAATCCTAGAATTGTGTGTATTATTCATGTAAGTAATCCAATGATTTAGGTATATATTTTCATTGAAACAAACCCCTAAAACAATAGCGTGATAAACAGTGTTCCTATAATTTAACCCTGCAAAAGAAATTACTTATATGAGTTATAAAAAGGAACTAACCGTGTACATACGAATCAGAATATTTGAAAATATTTCCAAACTATGAAGTTTTATATACGTTAAATGTATCTCTACACTATTTACAAACAGTAAACTAATAAGAAGAACTAATAAGACAGATATCCACCTAAGTACAATGAAAGATGGTTGCGCAATTTCGTGGAATGGTTGATGTTGGACACTAAGATCATTTGATGCCGGCTCAATGGTCAGTAGGTTAAGCGTTCACGCGCGAGACTGAAGGCCCTGGGCTCGAATTCCTCGAGCGGGATCGTGGATGCGCACTGCTGAGGGGTCCCACAATAGAACGAAACGACCGTCCAGTGCTTCCAGGTTTCCAACGGTGGTCTAACATCTGTCGATTGATGATCTCAATCAAAAACCTATTAATAATAATCCGATCAATATAATGTAGCACATAGTTTTAAGTATCAAATCCCATAGTTTCTTAAAACAATCATTACTCCAATAAAGGTTATGTATGAAACTAGACGAGTGGTCTTGCAAAAAACCTTTCAAAATATATCCAACTCTACATGAAGAAAACACAAAGCACTTAAATATGATATTAAATATTCACACATTATAGTATGATTTCATGTACTTGTAACATCCTCACTGTCTTTTCATTTATCAAGATAAGAGCTGACATTAGTAAATTTCTCGTTAAATTTAGTTTTTGTTGTTTTCCATCCTATTTTAAGCTGTTACGTAACAATTGCTGATATTTCAGAAGTTTTAAATGTTCTATAACAGATCACACGTATTAAATCCTTGAAAAAAAACAGTTTTGCATCCTCAGTAAGCGATGTCATTTAAAATAAGATCTCTCAACTGCACTGTTTTAATCAATAAATTTGATAGATGAAGTAATTTTCATTATATTAATAAGCGTATTCCAGTTATTCTATACAGCAAATTACTAAAAATAGAATATGTTTTCTTCTATAAATGAAACATCTTTTGTTATCGTTGTTGTTGTTGTTGATATATAGCAATGCTTAAGCAAGTTCTAGATTGATTACTGTGTGTTATTAACAATCATCAATGTTGAATTGACATGTAAAAAGGTTAGTGGGTTTCATGTGATGAATTTTTGAGATGCATCATATAAATTATAATTAGTTATTATTAATTCTATTATTATTATTAGCTTTATTCAATATTATATTTTTGATACAATCTAGAATTCTCAGCACAAGGTATTTTCAACCAGTTTTCTTCCCTTATTTCTTAGTCGAGACTAGAAATAAATACTGAGTGATCGTTAGGTAAATGTAAGCAGTTGTGGAATCGACATATGAATAATGCTCATCCGTTTTAATACATATTGCCAGCCATAACGATTTCTCTGACTGTACTTTTGTGTAATTTGCTCAGCAAAAGGTCATAAACTTTTCATAAACGCTCTTGAATAGTTTGTGTGAATAATAGATATAGTGTTGTAGATATAATGATATGTTAAAACAAACAAAAACAGATATTTTTTGAAATATCTAAATGACAGGAAGAGGTAGTCCATATATTCAAGCAGGCCGCCAATGATAGTGAGATAATGTTAATTATCAACCTAACTAATTTCATGAGGTATATTCATTCATATTTGATTGTATGTACGTTTACCTAACTGTTGACTTCAGTTTTGACGACTATAGTTGTGTTTAATGTAAATTAGTTTCTGCACAGTAATCATGATTTACCATCTATTTCCAATCGATGTCTCCTTTCATTTTGACTTTCAAATGACATTAAACATTGAATACAGCTATATATTTCAACTGAAATAATTTCCATGATCAGTTGTAAGTGACAGTGAATAAGGAAATTTTGTAGAACTATATGAATATGTATAAGTCAAACAAGTTAACTAAAAGTCCCTTATCTTATAGAACATATAATTTAAATATGCCAGAACATATATACATTCAAGCAACTTGCATAGGATTTATATATCTCAGAAAAACTGGGTAACTAGTGTTCTTAATATCAATAAAACACTTTTATAAAAACGCTTACTGATACCAGAATTTTATTTAAAAATAATATCATGAATTGACAGTTTACGCAAACCCATATAATGTAATGACACACAAACATTTTAATGATCTTTTGTCAGGAACATCACTTCATTTTAATAGTTGATCCATATCATCAAAATATAATTTTTGATCAAGTCATTCGACAACTGAATATTAGAAAAGAAGTTGATGCTAATGCATTCATAATGCTTGTTTTAGGATAATAATAATAATGATAATAATAATGAGGCCCTAACCATAAACTTCAACTGTACTCTTGTTTGTGAACTAATAATTTAACTCTGAAGATTCTACATATCACGCTTGCAAGATGAGACTAAAGTTATACACTACTGAAAAAAACATTAATAATAATACGTTCAGACATTGTATAGTTCATTAATATGTAACCCACAAGTATGCATTATGCTTTTGTCTACTTGATCATGAGTGAAATTCAATTTATTCAA